AATACGTAACCGTCATACTTTTTCGTCGATGAAATTAATTGATAAAATGATATAAAAAGAAAGAAAAGGGGGAAAAACAAAATTCATTAAGCGCTGCAATATCAATCTATTCATCAGTAATTGTTTAATCTTTTTAAGTGCCTGTTCAAATTCTGAAATACAGTATTAACATGTGGACAAAGGATACTGAAAATCAGAAATATGGTATTTGAATCATTATTTTGACAAAGGATACTTGAAAATCTGAAATACAGTATTTGATTTAACATTTGGACAAAGGAAACTTAAAATCTGAAATACAGTATTTGATTTAACATTTGGACAAAGGAAACTTAAAATCTGAAATACAGTATTTGAATCAACATTTGGACAAAGGATACTTAAAAATCTGAAATACAGTATTTGAATCAACATTTGAACAAAGGAAACTTAAAATCTGAAATACAGTATTTCAATCAACATTTGGACAAAGGACACTTGAAAATCTGAAATACAGTATTTGATTTAACATTTGGACAAAGGAAACTTAAAATCTGAAATACAGTATTTGAATCAACATTTGGACAAAGGATACTTAAAAATCTGAAATACAGTATTTGAATCAACATTTGAACAAAGGAAACTTAAAATCTGAAATACAGTATTTCAATCAACATTTGGACAAAGGACACTTGAAAATCTGAAATACAGTAGTTGAAGCAACATTTGAACAAAGGAAACTTGAAATTCTTAAATACAGTATTTGAATCTACATTTGGACAAAGGAAACTGAAAAATCTGAAATACAGTATTTGAATCAACATTTGGACAAAGGAAACTTGAAATTGTTAAATACAGTATTTGAATCAATATTTGGACAAAGGAAACTTAAAAATCTGAAATACAGTATTTGAACAAACATTTGGACAAAGGATACTTACAAATCTGAAATATAGTATTTGAATAAACATTTGGACAAAGGATATTTAAAAATCTGAAATACAGTATCTGAATCAACATTTGAACAAAGGAAACTTAAAATCTGAAATACAGTATTTGAATCAACATTTGGACAAAGGAAACTTAAAATTCTTAAATACTGTATTTGAATCAACATTTGGACAAAGGAAACTTAAAAATCTGAAATACAGTATTTGAATCAACATTTGGACAAAGGATGCTTAAAAATATGAAATACAGTATTTGAATCAATATTTGAACAAAGGAAACTTAAATATCTGAAATACAGTATTTGATTCAACATTTGGACAAAGGATACTTGAAAATGGTTGAAATGGATCTACTGAAAATGTTACTTGACTAGGAAAGATTGAAATACATGAAAATTTAAATTGACATGAATCGTATTTTGAATATGAACGACGGATTGAATTAAAGTATTTGCTAAAGCTGGAAGGAAAACAATGATGTATTTGTATCGACATTTTAAAGTTTCATCTTACTAGTATGCATGTATATGATAACATTTCTACATATGTACTTTACGTCTTTCTTTTTCTACATTTGTTGGTGATCTTGTGATTCGAATTCCGCCAAAGGATACAATGGAAGTTGAGCATTATTTTCCACATCCTTCCGATACCCGTTATGAGATTGCCCGATCAAGAGGTTAGACCATATCAGTTCATAAATCTTAAGTTCCTAATTGATATTTTCTCGCTAAATAGTGTGTGAAGTGGTGGCTAGCTGGACATAACTGACCACTGTCAAGAGTCCTTCGATTGTAACATCGGATTTTAATTGACCACTATGTCTCTAGAGAATGACCATTGTTTATTCAACAAACAAACCGCAGTCCACTAGAACGATTTGGGAATATGGCCCAAATTACGGACATTATTTACAGAGGTCGGGTTTAAATGATTCAAGATGGTTGTTTCTGATAGGCATATTTTCCTGACTTCTCCAGATGTCGTGGTCAAGAGAGACTGACGCGAGGCCACGTTCTCGTGACATCAGGCGTCCTGACAAGGCCACGTGACATCACGAACAGACCGCATTCAGGACATCTGTAATTTGAAACCCCAGCTGGACAGCCATGTAAGGTCAAGTCTTGACCAGTGGTCTGGCACCCGAAATGAACCGGAAGATAATTGACCATTACTGTAACCTCTAGTAACTGCCAAATGACTGCGATGTTAGGGTAATTAGGACTGTCAACCCTATTTTGGCGGGAATGCTATAATTCTCGTTACTCACGAATAGCGCGAGTTTCTAGCAACTTATCTATTTTCTTTTGAAGTGTACTGAAATTCATTTCATTATTATAATCCCAAAAAACCTTTTACTTACTTTTGTTTTGAAGTATTTGAGTTAAACAAGAGCAACATAGATAACACAACCGCAAAAATAAATCGCGTAAATCAATTAACAGATTAAAGAACACGAGGTCAAAACTGATGATTTCGGTAAGTTACGTCTTAATACCACAATAAGCGGTATTCATATTAATATATACATGTATATATGTGTGTGTGGTTTTCTACTCGTTATGAGCATTGGCGAGAAAAAAAAAGGTTTTGGCATTGATCTGTATTGCTATGGAATTTATTACCTGTATAAATGACACAGCCTTGCAGGCGATCGCATAGCAACATGTTCTGTTTTCTTGCAACGCTTTGTCATTGATGACGACTATAAATGCTACACAATAATATAATTTGACTTAAATACAGAATTGTAATGCACACCATAACTGATTATAATCAAATACATTTTTGCCAAGCGAAAGGCGTGTCTTAGACGCCTGTTCGGAAGGAAATGCCAGGTTCCCTTCCTTTTATCGTAGGTTTGATAGTTTGAACATACTCTATTGCCGTTAAGCAAAAGGAATGAACACAAGTTACAATAACATTATTAACGTCATTTCCTTAAGAAGAAAAAACATCGCATATATACATTTCAAGAAGGCTCAAAATAATTATATACAAACATTATCGCAGTTTCATCAACATATTTCATATCAACTTCCAGTTTATGAAGCCTTTCGACAACTCAGCTAAATTTCGTATGACCCAGAAACCTATATTATACTCTACGTTTGATCGTTTATTTTTCCTCTCGTCAATTAGTTTCAGTTACTGAACTGTCACTTTTGTTTCTCATTCTCCCTTTGTAACGGTAAAATTTGGGACATCAGAGCAGTATATAAAACATGTGTTATATACGTCTCTGCTCGGAAGTAATCGATTAGATGAAAAATATGTCGAATGTTTGTCAGACGCGATTTGATTGGTTAGCTGAAAGGTCACCTGAAGAATGACCTCTAACTATTGTCTTGTGAATAGTGTAACTCAATAGAAATTGCGATAAAAGCTGAACAGCCATTTTGACATCTCTACCAGAGTTGTCGTTCCTTACACTCTTTATGTACTATACTACAATAAAGATGACGACATCGAGTCACGTGTTTGATGCTTATTTCTGAATGGTTTAGAGAGTAGTGCCATTTCAGAGCCAATGTCAGCAGTCGTAAATATAAAGAGGAGAGTATGAAAAATGTAACCTTATAGTCGTGTATTTTACCATTCCATAAGCTTGTTAAGTGTTGGCATATAACACATTGTTGAACAGAAATCCAGGTCAATTATTTTACGACACTTTTCGGAAGGTGATTGAATGCCTTGGACAAGTGTGTCGTGACCAAATTGGATTAACCTTGTCCATGTCACGATTGAATCACTCTGGGAATTTACAAGTATGTGAAATAGATCTAGCATGTGCTAATTCCCATTTTTGAAATCAATATTACGATGTACACTCTGTGACTAGAAGGTTCAAGGTAACGATGATCATCGCCATGTCCGTAGGTAAAATGTAGGTCATGAGCACGTAATGTGACTTACTATTGGTTGACGCTTACCTTTAACGGTGCGTCGTAAAGCATGGGTATCTAATAACATTGTTCGAATTTTTATATGACTAACATTAAATTTTAATTGAAATCAAATTATTTCACAATATCAAAAATTAAATGGCATACGTTTTTTGGATTTTTTTTCCCGCGCGTGCCTTATCTGATAGGAAAGTGTAGTCTATGTCTGATATCATACTGTGAAAAATATAGCTGTGCCCTGTGCCCACAGGAAATAGTACTAACTTGCCTTCTAGGAAGAGTATATATCCTATATTTCAACCGTAATTTACAAGCATCGATCAAACCATTTCGAAAGTTCGTCTCCCCGAGGGGCGTCCATATCTTGGTCAACTTCTGTCTGGCGATGAAATTGTCTCCCCTGACACAATCGAAAGGTAATTTTCCCCATAGCGACAGGTACTATTGTTGTTGATGTAATCTCTGTAGATTTATTATTCTCTAATCGCCCATTATCTCCCCTTAGTAATTCCCTTACACAGTTTCGACTGTTTCTTTTAATTACCCTTTGTCATCTCCAGGAAATATTCCATACAGGTAGTGCTTTAGTATCACTACCGCGTCAATCAACACTCAGAACAGTGATAGATTTAATTACCTGGATATATCAAGAGGTAATTAAACGTGTGTTTTCTCGATAAGAAATAGGAATTGGGTCTGAATATGTGAATGAAAAAACACAACGTAAAAAGGCGCGAAACAGTGTCGACGAGTACAGGTAGAAAATATATTCTAGAACAGGCGTGTAGACACATCATTCATTCATTCACTTTATTGACTTCATACCTTACAGCCCATCAGTGCATAGCTACATATATATGTACAGTATATATTACTTAATGTCTAACAGCAGTAAAGTTACAACAAGATTAATAACTTTCACAAATCAAAGGACTTTAATATGAAGATAAAGAAATTACACTGGCTATAATGTCTGTACTAGGAAATTTGATTGTTAAGTTTTAAGATGTTTGACAATTAAGTCACAAGAGTTTCATATAAAATAAGTTCGTTTGTTTGAGGCTTATGTCATAAAACCGAACATAAATTTTGATTTAAATGTTTCGTAGTCTCTTTTTTCATTTTCTGTTTTAATAATGATTTTCATTGTTTTCTTGGTTTTCAGACTCAAGGTGAAAGACCAGACCGTTTCAGACAATATAACTTTTTCGAAGTCCAATATTAAAAATGACGATGTAAACTTTATCTATTTAAATTGCTTTCTTTCGTAAACATTCGTGTTTTCCTTGTCTTTTTTATTTATTTATCTATTTATTTGTTCATTTGTTTATTTAAAATGGAAATCAAACTTTCAATTTATACCACAAGACATAAATTTGGAACACTTTCTTGATTTGCCTAGTCGGTTGTCCCACGAGAACGTTTGGCAGTGTTAAAGAATCCACGGGAAATGACCCACTGACCTGGACAGATCGAATGACCCAAGTAAACTCTGGTATCTGCCGTTGGTCATACACCCTTAGGATGGTCCCTTTGGCTTCTCAATTTGATTCTTGACTCTAAAATCTGTATTATATACATTTTTGAATGTACATCGTTCGTATTTCATGTTATTCTCTCATGCATTTATGAACCTGACAACATATTTGAAGTCAGGATAGTATTTAAACAATTCTTTTTAAAATATCTATATATTAACGGATAACGACCTGACCTTGTTGACCAGGAAAATAAATCATACAGTATACACACAAAAATAATGCAACACGGAAGCTGATCACACCTGCCTAATAGGACTAGGCAAATCACACCTGACTAAAGGGACCAGGCAAATCACGCCTGACTTAAGGGACCACGCAAATCACCCCTGACTAATAGGATCGGGGAAATCACACCTGACTAAAGGGACCAGGCAAATCACACCTGACAAATAGGACCAGACAAATCACACCTGCCTAATAGGACCAGGCAAATCACACCTACGTAATAGGACCAGATAAATCACACCTGACTTATAGGGCCAGAGAAATCACCCCTGACTAAAGGGACCAGGGAAATCACACCTGACTAAAGGGGCCAGGCAAATCACACCTGACTAATGGGACCAGGGAAATCACACCTGACTATAGGGGCCAGGAATATCACGCCTGACTAATAGGATCGGGGAAATCACTACTGACTAAAGGGGCCAGGCAAATCACACCTGACAAATAGGATCGAGGAAATCACACCTGGCTAACGGGACCAGGCAAATCACACCTGACAAAAAGGACCAGGTAAATCACGACTGACAAATAGGATCGGGAAAATCACATCTGATCGACGGGACCAGAAATATCACACCTGTCCAATAGGGCCAGGCGAATCATATTTGGCAAATAGGACCAGAAAAATCACACCTGACAAATAGAACCAGGCAAATCCCACCTGACTAATAGGACCAGGAAAATCACACCTTAATAATAGGACACACAAATCACACATGACTAACGGGACCAGAAATATCACACCTGTCAAATAGGGCCAGGCGAATCGTATTTGGCAAATAGGACCAGAAAAATCACACCTGACTTATGAGACCAGAAAAATCACACCTGACTAATAGGACCAGAAAACGCACATTATTGATAGGTCCAGGCAAAAAGAGACCTGGTTCGTGAAACCAGACAAAGTAGAGATGACCAATAGTTAAGTATGTTTCGCGTTAATGTCAGAAGCCTTTAAAGAGCATGTGACCTCCAGATTGAACCCCACTACGTAATGTCTGCTTCGCTACAGGTGTCTGTCCACTCCCTGTAGCAGATGCTACTACATTTGTACTTGTATGAAAAGGTCACGTCCCCCAAACGGAAGTCATGGAGGTCATATACCCTCTGTGAAACTATTTATATACTTATGGAAACTCCTTCTCACGGGAAAGTAGGTGTAACCACATATGTATTGTGTTTTGATGACTTTTGTTTAGACGTGTTGAAAGTCTGTAATTATATTTAGTTTTACTGACAAACTTCATGATTGGTAGAAACAAAAAGAAAACAAAAACGGTCAATATTAATTTGAGTTCCTTGATTGGACGTGGTGTCATATATCAAATTGTTTCCGCATGACTTCATGCGGGTTTAGTTGAGAGAGTTGCCTCATTATTTCGGACAGTCAAGATTATCGCTGAACCAGGCGGGGCGGACACGGGTCAGCCAAATTACCCAACAATTGGTCGGGTCAGGTCAGACATGATGACCAGTGGATAAGGACATGAGGTGAAAGCTGTAACACATGTTAAACAAAGTATCACATGACCTCTCCAGGACCCATTTATTTAAACAGTGGGGATAAAGACCTAAGGACAAAGGTACTACTTCGGTAAGCGAGGCCAAAACGATGTCCGACGTAAAACTGAAATATCCAGACACAATGGATACTGGTAACCTTAATCACCTGAATCATCATCATCATCAATTTCGAAAACAGATACGAATTAGAATTTACTTACCGAATTCCGACTGTTACATCGCTTCATGGGAAGGAAAGGTCATTCGGTACAATATCTGAACAGACTGCCATGCGATAGTTTAGAGATAAGTGATACGAGGAAACAGTTGAAGGTACTCTTCATCCTTTATTTAAGTGTTTGTCCTCATTTCTCTGTACTTATTCTCCCCAATTTGATACATATTACACAAACAGTCTATATGTCCTTGTATTGTTGTCAAATGGACAGTAATGATTATATCGTGATAACATTAATCCTATATTTTATTAATAAATGTTTTTTGTAAAGTTGTTCGATTTCTGCTATTTTTTGTCATCTTTAATTTGTTGATCGTGTCCGATTCGAGCAGACCGTACAATGTATAAGGAATCTTTTGATTGTTTTCAGTGTTTATGTTACTGATTACGTACTTTGAACTGAAATTTATCTTCAAAATCTCATTAATTAAAGACGCGAAGAATCCGATATCATCAGCAAATGATTTATAGTTTTCTATGAAATATTTATGACAGTCACTTGCTCGCGTTATCTCTAACTTTAAATCTCACATTTATTGAATATCATAAATCATTTGTACCCATGCAGTAAGAACTAGACGACCTTTGTGTACTTGATGGCCGCGTTCATCATTCTACTGCTAGTCTGATGGGACTGCATACCCGAGGTATCACCAAACCAATTATATAAGGTCATATCGATATATAAAAACAACCCAGCGGCAAAGCAGTGCACAACAAGGTATGATCCACTAGCATATTGAGAAACATCAAAAACACCATTAAAAAAATAATCCTTGTATCACATTGTAAACAACAATGATTGTGGTCAAGGTCGATTGCCTTAACATCATTGTTATATATCGACTGAAAATTTCAGAACATCACTGTAAATACGAAGATTTTTTTTTAATTACCAACTGTTTATCTTGTTGTTGTTGTTATTGTTGTTGTTGGTTGCATATATGTATGTTTTTGTTTACACATAAAGCCAGCGAGATGACTTCAAACCTGACTGTCATTAGCTATAACAATTTAAATTGGGGAACTCGATAAAAAAGACCTGTTTGTGACCTCACTGACTTTGATCTGCCGGACCAGAGAATTGGTAAACATTTCACCAGAGAAAGCCTAGCATGTGTGATTCGCTTTGTTCTGAATATTTCATTTCAAATTTTTTTCTTATTTTCTACAATATTTCTAATTACCTTCCCATTTAGATGATATACAACTAGGCGTTTGACACACGACACTTTCATCGGTCTTGGATGTGGCCAGGAGTACACGTTCGCTTGATCACAATCAACATGCTACAGTGTACATCCGGTGGGTGATAAAAGTTCTTAAACGAACTAGAAACAAAATTGTTTGTGACAAAACCAAACTTGCATGACGCAACTCATTTCGACAGAGCATAAAATGCACGTTAACTTTGAAAGTTTTTTCATCAATTTGTATTCAAGTCTTATCATCAATAACACGTTAAACTCACTAGCGCATCATGTTTATAACACATTACAGTGTGATATGGGTGCACAACATATCATACACACCAAGGCGAGGTCACAGTCGTTCTACTCCACCCGGGGTTGGGATGCTGCTGTGTAAATAAAGATAATGAAGGCTGGCCTTAATCATATATCAAGTCTCCATTTACGTACAAATTTACGTACAAACTAATAAATATGTACGGAGAAATTTTGGTATTCTGTTTATCATAATCTACCAAAGTCCATTGATAGAAATTTAGAAGTGTGATCTATAAATTGCTTTGTCATTTACCATGCAGGTGGGGTGTGTGAATTGTACCGACTTCCTCCATTACATTATTGTAAGAGGCGACATAAACTAGTCGGTTCTTTTCTCTCTAAACGATGATTTTGTCCTAATGTCTCACGAGATTATCCCCAGTCTTGGTACTTCATTGAGCGTTCGCCCACGTGATGAAGATTTCGGATTCTGTCCCCTGACTGAGACATACCAGAATCTATAAACTTGTGGTAGTGTAACCCGTTGTTAATACGGTTGTCGAATTGATGTGTCCAGGTGAGGTGTCCGCTGGGGGTTTCTGTGAGTACAGCGTACTGACACTGAGGCCGGCTTCAGTTCCACACCCATCACGACAAACAAGATCTCACAGATTCACCCTCTCAATACATGTATTATTTCACGTAAATAGGGAGACCCTGTCATTTGATAGGATGCCAATCAATACAAAATGTAAACCTACTTAATCCTTATTCATATCTAAATCATGACGTCATGTTATTGTATCTTGTGACGTCATAATATAATCTTAATAGACATATTAAATAAAAACAGTATGAATGAAAGTATAGTTATGCACTTTCATATCTAGATTGAGACCAAATGAATGTGATGTTTTATAATTATCATTTGAAAAGAATATCAACACACTTTGGACGTCTTATGGTAGTGTAGATAATGCACAGTTTATCAATTAATCCTCAATGTATATAAACGAATTTCTCTGAAAAATTTTATGAACGTCAATTTTGAGCGAAACATTGTATTAAAAACATGCGAATATTTTTTAGATCTTTCTATTACTGATGTTCGTTCATTTTCAATTGACCTTTATTTAAATAAAAATGAACCTTAGTATCACGTGGTGCTAAGAAATGTTTAACTGCGACGTAATTAATACAAATTATCAGATTATGACTACTAAATGTGTCTTCTTGTTGAACAAGACCCTCTGAAAATTACTTCAAACACATACTATT